GTTGCAGTGATGATGGATGGAGGTGTATCCATGTGTGTCTCTCATTCATGGGTTAACTATCCATAGCTAAACCAGATATAGAGCTGAGAGATGAAGGGAGCACAGCATTCCCTCTGTCTGCCCCTGCTTGGTCCTGTTTATTGAATTATACATCAGTACAACCGCTGCCTCTTTTTTCTCTCCCCTCGTCTCTGCTTAATTTGATCAGAGAATCTGCTGATGCAGTGTGTGCCCGGCTCATGTGAAACCAATTTAAAGCTACACATAAAAATCTGGTGTCTCCGTTACTCTCTCTCTCTCTCACACACACACACACACACACACACACACACACACACACACATACATACATACAGACACACATACATACATACAGAGGGTGTGGTGTGTGCCGTTCGTCAGAGGTGGAGAGACCCCTGTCTAATAATGACCTGCCTGTGTATGAATCTCAGCGGCTGATGGTTGATGATGTCCACAGGTGAGCGTGAAGTGTTTCCTGGACACCAAAGCAGAAAGATGAGGCAATGATTGTTGAGTAGAGCAAATGCATATCGTCCAAAGGATCGTGTGTTTGTACCACACACAGATAAATATTGTGGCAACAATAGCTTGAGTTACATACTCAAGCTATGACGGGAGATGTAACTGTGGTGCAGCCCACACTCATCTCACTGACATGAGAACTTGACTCACACCACACTTCTGTCTACCTGCAAAAAGTTACACAAATCAAAAGTTCAGTTTTGTTGCTAAAATTTTTTTTAAAATGACAGCTACTCCTCCCCAGTCATTGAAAAATCGAAATCTTTGACTATACAAATATTTTTAATTCAAAAAGTTTAAACTCTGGACACAAAATGTCCCCTACAGCACTGTGAAGTCCATTCAGTATGTGGAGCTTTCAAGTTTCCACACTGGTTGGTGATTTGCTTCTAAACAACTGTCACTGTCACTGTGTACTGTCACTAAATCTTGCTTGTACAAACACGTTTTCAGCTCAGATTTCACATGTGCACGGGGAAACTTGCCCCCTTCAGCAGATGAATTTGAAAACAGCCTTCTACTTTTCAAACTCTGCACATACAGCACAAAGTGCAAAGTTCTAGGCAGATATTTAGATTCTCATCCATCACACATTACCATCAGGGAGGCATCTTGTCCCAAGTTCATTCTGCAGCATGAAAACAACCTCAAACATACAGCCAGAATCATAAAGAACTATCTTCAGAGACAAGAAGAACAAGGAGTCCTGCAACAGATGGTCTGGCCTCCGCAGAGCCCTGACCTCAACATCATGGAGTCAATCTGAGATCACATGAAGAGACAGAACACACTGAGACAGACTAAACCCACAGGAGAACCTGCCAAATACCTTGAGGAACTGTGTGTAAGTGAGCAAGAGAGAACTGGTGCTGTTTTAAAGGCAAAGGGTGGTCCCAGCAAATATTGCTTTGATTTAGATTTTTTCTGTTTTACTGAAGTGAAACGGTAAATAAAAACTATTTATGACATTATTTTTTAAAGTACTACTATTCTTTAAGTGGTTGTACTTTGCGCAGTTAAGGTAGAAACGTCCATGTGAAGTAACAGTAAACAAAACACGTTAACCTGCAGCCACAGAAGACAAGGGGCTGTGTGGCTGTACAGGGATGACCGCAGCCACGTATAGAACAGACAATGCAAAGAAGAAACGGCCACGCTCTCCCGCTCCGCTCCCGAAAATAGACTGCAGGACGAATGAAAGCGAGACACTGTGAGATTTGATGCGACAGGCCCGGCTGTGGAGGCTCTGCTGGCTTGTGAATTCCCAACATTCCTCTAATTACTTAAAATTCCCATCTAAGAGCGAGCAGGGGATTAGAGGAAACAGGTTCAAGCCCAACTCCAGTCTCAAGTGTGTTGTTGCTGAATGACATGAGAGCATCTGCACAACCAAATTAAAAATTGTGCACAGACAGCTACGGACTTTGATTGTCATCATCCCAGACAGTTTCCGTACATGAATAGCTCTGTCAGACACATATCAGTACGCTGAAGAAAAAAAAAAAAGAAGCTTCCCATAAAGCATAAGAGCAAAATACTGGCCACGTATTTCCCCTCTCCGCCATGCCTGGCCTTTCCCACAGCCAAACTGAACATGGCATTGCTGAGACATAAAGTCTGACCTAAAGCACTTTTCTCCAGCCCATTACTCGCACCGCCACGCCTCTCCTACAAGAAACTGATAGCCAGAGAAGATTTCAGGGACCCTCCTGCTGATACACAGAAGGCCAGTGCCAATATAAACCCCAGAGGCTCTGAGCTGCTGCATCAGTGGAGAGCCCGTCCCCTCAGCAGCGAAAAATACCTGGACATGGTTCCTGCTGGAAATTAAACAGACAAGTCACCATTTAGTGGAAACCTTTTAGAGAGAACGCCATGCTTGAGTGATGTATATCTGGGACAGCTGAGACTTTAGCCCGTGGCAGTGGAATGGTTTATATTAAGGGGAGGCTTGCATATACGCTGCACTCAGAGTAGAGGTCTGCCACTCCTGTTTGTTTAGCTGTGTGACAAACGTGAACTTCTCATTTTACTATGCAACTTTTATCTTGAAACTCGGTATCAACTTTTTCTTCCAGAGCAGTGATGTGAACTACGAAAAGTGAACAAAGGTGGAAACATAAAGAGATGTAACCAAACATAAATCTTTCAATCATGTCATAGCCTCTTCTTTATTTTGTAAATGTTTGAAGCCAAATGATCATACAAGCACAAAAAAATGAATGCATCTCTTTTCTTCTAAACTTGATGTTTTTAAAATCTGGATAAACCTTACAACACTAAGAGAGATTATTTAGAAGTCAAAGGCAACAGTGATTTGCTGTTTTAGCAAACAAATAAAAATGTTTCACTAAAGTCCTTTGAAAACAGGATAAAATATAGTCTACAAATGAGATCAAGATTGGAAGAAATCCGTTGTCAAACAAAACGCTGACATGTTTCTCTGCTTGTGTCAATGTAGTTGATAATGATACAGATAGAAAGCAGATAAATGCAAAGTCAAAAGGCTAGTTGAGAGATCTTCTCGCGACTTTTCACCAGAGACATGAAAACACAAAATCCACTGAAATAAACTGCAGCAGTGAAAGCGAAAACACCCGGAATAACCCGAGGATAGGTTTCATTTATCCTCATGTCAAAAGCCGCAACGTAAAAAATAAATAAATGACTAAAGAAAAGTTGGGGTCGGTGTGGTGTGCAGCCAATGCTGAGCTCATTACGTTGCATTGGAAATAGCTCTTTACAGGAGACATTTACTAAAGAACCAATGAGGAATATAGTCAAAGTCTCGTTATGGAATACCTGCACAGCGAGAGAGGGGCCGGTGGTGGAGGCAGATTGCACGTGCACTGGGCCTAAACCAGTATATTGTCTTTTTTTTTTTTTTTTTTTTTTTTTTTTTTTTAAATTGCGCAATTTAATTTTCAAATTTCATAATGTGACCTCCTCACTGCAAGAAACTTAATAGATGCTAAAATATTATTGCTTTTGGAGAGGGTCTTCTAATTAGAAGTCAGAAACCAGCCAGAGCTCGTGATTTGAATCGTTTGAGGTTGTGTCATTTTTCTATGTTTTATTTTTCAGAAATGTAAGTGAGTAAATGTAATCTTCCTCCTGGATGAGCTGGAGTGCAGATGTGGCCGACATCATGTTGTGTAATAGCGACAAGACACGAGTTATGTCTCGAGTCAGAATTAATCCGTTAATTATACCGGAAAGAAAGAAAGAAAGAAAGAAAGAAAGAAAGAAAGAAAGAAAGAAAGAAAGAAAGAAAGAAAGTCCATTTAGGCCTGACAAACAGACACTTAAAAATTATTTCGTTTCATCCCTTGAAAATAAAATTCAGGCATGGATACTTAGGCTATAATAACGACAACACCAACACCAATAATAATGATAATAATAAAACCAACACCAATGATAATAATATGCTTTATAATAATAATGATAATTATAATAATAATAACAATAATAATAATACTGATAATAATAATAATAATAATAATAATAATTATTATTATAATAATGTGTTTCCAAATTTTTAAACCACGAGTAATTATAGGCGACACTTATCAAATATTTCCTTGTATTGCGTCCTAATCAAATATATTTTCCTCATTTAGGCTATTCAAACTGACGTTATTCAAACTTATCCAATTTGACTGCTAACCGACATAAAGGCCGATCTTGTTTCCTTAAAACACGCTTTAACCGCTTTCATTCAGAGTTTATAGCCAAGAAAAGGCAAATTGCTGGCGTGGCGTCCTTTTACCAAATTGTCAAGGCGCACGAAGCCAAGTATTTCAATGAGCATCAGAGGTTTAATGGTTTATAATTAATTTAATATTAAGAAGTAGCCAATTTCCAAACTGAAAGTTGTTTGCGATGATGGGCTCTAATTCTCCATCACTGTAAGTGGATGTATCCGCACTGACAGTCTGACTTCTCACATCAGGTCCTGGTCAAACGGTGGAGGTTGTTTGGTTTAATAACGGTCCCTAAAACAAATGCACAAAGAAAATATTTATATAATATTTAAGCTTAACGTCGGCTGACTTTATGTTGTTATCGCTCTAAATTCCTGGCTTGATCCTTTTATTTACACTTCATTTTAAGGTCTTCTTTCTGAACGTCGAAAAAAACACACATTTGATTTTCCACAAACACATTAATAAGCAAGTGTGGCTCAGAGAAACAACACTTTTTAAAATGTTGAAGGTTGATGTAAAGAATGGCCCTTTAAAAAAAAAAGTGAGAGGTAAAGGTCTTCGGCCACGCAACAGCAGGAATCAAAGTCGTTATATTCATCCTCTAATTACATTAATGTCATGTGTTGTGTCTCCCGCGTGTTTACCAAAAAAGCTTTCCCCTTCTGAGCTTGACCTCCCATTTCTACTGGCTGCATAATAGCGCAGGCTGGAGCTCGGTGTGGGCCTACTTCAGATGGATGTGGAGCCTGAAGGTCGGAGTGCTGGGTGTGTGTGTATGTGTGTGTGTGTATGTGTGTGTGTATGTGTGTTCGTGTGTGCGTGTGTGTGTGTCAGATACACTGAAGGCTACTGAGGCGGCATCAGTTTGAGCAAGGCATTTTTCTCTTTACCCCGACAAACCTTCAGGGGGCTTTTAGCATTTGTTCAGTCTGCAGTCTCTGGAAAACATCTGATTCATTTTTTAACCAGTCCCAGATGCGGCAGTGTGAGAGTGTGTGTGCATGAGCGCGTCAGTGTGTTTGTCAGTGCATGAGAATTTGAGGAGAATATCTGCTGTCTAGAGAAGGGGAGGGAAAGAAGAACCGTGTGGATTTTTTTTAATATAACTTTTTAAGTATGAACGCAGATACGTGCGTCTCATACTGCGATATGACATCGATGGATTCATATTATAGCACGTCTACTGCGCAAGGTAGGGATCACCAGGCGAACCCGTTCAGGACTTTCCCGACCACTGAAACCAAATACAGCGCCACGTTCATTCCGGGTAAAGGGCAGGCTTACGGAGAGAAGTCCCGGAGTCCTTTCCAGTCGGAGTGCCAGTCATTGGATGGCGCTGAGGAGGGCACCTTCAGCAAATATCAGCTCTTCATGCAGAGACCGACCTGCAAAACTCCGCCCGAAGGCAGCAAGCTGCACCCGGACAGCGGACACAACGGGACGCTCATTCCCTGCTATGGTGAGTGTGCGTGAGAGAGGGTGATCATATATGAGGCAACACACTGGCCCTGAGTTAAACGGAGATGCGTGACAAGAGGGGATATGCGCGAGCAATGATGCAAATTCACTGTAATGTCAAATACAGCATCTGAAAGTCAGAAATCTGAGCGCGAGGACAGAGAAGAGGAGAGAGGAAGCTGCAGCACTCAGCCTCCTATACTTTCACTGAAACAGAACTGCGTGTATTTCTAGCATTCAATCATATTTAATTATTTGTTGCTTATTAACCTGACAAGCAGCTGTGAGCAATCAGGAGAAAATATTCATTATCTGAAATATATCCCACTTTTTGTGTATGGGACCATAGTCCCTTAGTTTATACCTGAATCTTTAGAAAATCAGATAAAATGTGAATGGACACTATAAATACACCTGAAATTGTTCCTTCGCTTCTAAAAGGGAAAACCGAGTCCATTTAAAATATTTCTCAAGTATTAAGTTTTGCAAGGTGAACTACAGTTAAAGCACTGGATTAATGTATGTCCGTGTGTGCTGTGACTCAGGTGATTCAGATATTTTGGGCTTTTTTTTTTTAAATGGATGTTTGTATTCATCTAATGACTTAACAAACTACAAGTCACACATTGTCCCGTTTTTACCGCCACATCACTGAGTTTATAATTTCACCCCTGGTGAAACTGTCACAGATCTGACGGAGTTACACCTCCAGTCTTTTCTTGTCCTATTTCCTACATAAATTTCTCTCTGTCACTGACAAATACAGGCATGTCAGCAATTTGATATTTTAATATTCAGATATCAACCACAGGTCACGGAGGCACCGAGTCTGCTCACACACACACACACACGCACGCACGCACGCACGCACAAACGGAAACTCCAGGATCTAGGTGGTGGAGATGAAGAAAGTCAGATGGATTATTTTAAGGCGTCCAGTATTTTCATTGCAATTTTTATTTTCAGCTCAGGTGATTCTTTCATGGTAAATACAAGAACTGACTGACAACTGGCGCAACTCTACCACTCCACAGCTACTTCGTGAATTAGAGAACATACATTTATGCAACAGTTCAGCCCCAGAGGCCAAAATCTCACAACCTGTGGAGCAGAAATGAAACAGTCGATTCAATAACAGATTTAGAATTTTAGGGACTACCTTGCCATCCTGACAAACATCATTCATTTAATTAGAAAGCTTTACAACTTTACGGAGTCTTCCGACAATTCGTTGCACTATAGATGTATCTTAAGGCCGTTTAAAGAAAACTATCCATTTTACTGTCCCTTTTATGAGACGCAGGGCTTTAAAATAAAAAGAGAAAGGCCTGTTACCGAGCAAACGAAATGGAGTCAACCCACAGTGTGTGACAACAGGTCAAAGGGCCCGACGGCCTAAAAAGGATGCATTAAATATAATAATAGACTTTATATGACATAATCTACTATATGAATATAATATTTGTATATTACAGCATACTTTAAAAACTACATTTAAAATGATATTTTGGTTTGGCCATCAGAGTATAGACCCGTTGGCGCCTGTACTTCCAGTCCAGATGTTTATCATGATGTTACAGAAGAAAACATCTGTTTTGATCATGGCTGAACTTTGACGCATGTTGATCGCAACTTCCTCAGCAACACAACCTTTAAAACGACACATTAATCTGCGATTTGCGTAGGGAAGTGGCCTCGTTAGCACCGTTTAGAAACAGAGACTAAACACTGGCAAAAACTCATTTAAATACACTGAATGCTTGATCGTATGTAACTAAATTTAAGTATTAGGTGTAACAAATAAAACTGAGCTGCCCTAATTCTGCTCAGTGGGACCAATTACAACTAGGCCTGCAGTATAACAATTTTTTTTTTTTTTTTTTGCGCAGGAGGCAGTCCGACACTTTGCCAAAATACATCCATAAAGTGCAAAGTAATCTGTTTTCCTGGGAAACAACTGGAGTCACTCTTTATTTCAGGCTGAACTGTCACTTTTTCAGGAGTTTGAGAGCAATGCCTCCAACGGACTGGAGCACCCCTGCATTGAAGTGAATTGATTTGGCAAGTGCATTGACAGAGCCATTTAAACACCATCATTAAATGCAACATGCCTCCCTTGAGGAGAGCTCTGCAATGTTATTATTGAAAATGTTGCAGCCAGATGAAGGCATCATGGCTCTGGGGAGGATACTTTGGGGTCTTGCCAAAGCCTCAGGCGTCAACAGGCTTGTGCTGTTATGTGTGGTCCTCAATGGGAGATATATTGCTCAATGCTGATGCTTTATCTCCATCATGATGACAAAAATCCTCTCGTACCCAAAGGGAGTTTTCTGTGTGGCATCTTCAGCTACAAATGTAACACTGTTTACATGGCAACGTGACATTTTGCATCTGTGTCACTCTGAGGACGTTACAGTGTCTGAGTGCACTAAAATAGAGCGAAAAAAGGACTATAAATGTCTCAGCTACGTCATCTCTTTTTATAGATATGAAAAAGCTGCAGGAATGTTAATATTAACATTAAGATAAGAGAAACAGAGGTGATTATGTAGCTCTACTGCACAGATTTTGTTAAAATTAGGTATCATAATGTGAAATATTTTTGGCATACAGTGTATAATATTCACACTTTAAATTCAGGACAATTCCAAAAATTTTGGCAAATTATTTCTTTAAAATTATTTTATTCCAGTGCCACAAAGTACGATTCAATTGTAGTAAAAGATTATTAAATTTATTAGCTTGAAAGTGATTCTTAAATTTATCCTCAAGATATTCTTGTTCATTTTCACTGTTAGTGTTTGGTAAGTTTTTGCATGGATGCTAATCATACCTAGGCCCAACCTGTTTTCTTTTTAAAATCATATGCATTAAAATACAGTATTGTCTCTGAAACAGCGAATCAACACATTTCTGCACAGTAGTACCTCAGGCTGTCAGGTTTGTTCATTTAAGCTCATGCTAATCAGTGAGACTGTCCCACAGCGAGGACAGGGATGGAGCCGTCTACCTGCTCACACGGCGATGAATGAAATAAAACCCCTGGAGCTGATCGAGAGCTGAGGAATGCAGGTCAGCACTGCAGGAGAGGTCGGCATTAATCTAAGGCAGATGTGCATTACTGGCTCCTATAGTTATTATTCATACTCCCCTAACATCAGATCTCCAAAGCTATGGAGAGTCCCTGAGATGACAAAGTGGGACTGGTTTACATAACCCTGTCTCAACAATACCTTGTACAAATAAGCAACGAGTCAGAAATGGACATTGAGACTGGGTAATGATTTGAGAGACTTGGGAAAAATGAGAGGGTTTCTGGGAAAGCCGCACACGTGTGGGAACAACTGTTTACGTGCACGTACTTTACTGAACTCTATGGCTTTGAGATGCGCTGCGTATATGCATTTTTCCTGTCATAATTTTAAACTGATTTTCAGTTTTTATTCCTTGATGCATTTTCACGACCAAAGCCAATCACAGTTCACTTTCTTTATAAATTTAGGAGAATGTAAGTGGCGCTAAAGCTAAATCTGAAAACTCATGGTGTTTATAGGCTTGTGGTTGATACTGAGGTTGGGTTCTGCATTGCTGATACACAATGGAAGTGTTTGTGGGAGTACTGGTACTTACTAAAGGCTGTTTGTGCCTCATCATCTTTGTCTTTGTCAAAATAACCATTCAAAGCCAATTATACATTTATAAAATACAGCTTTGTCAATCTTTGTACTTTCAAACAACCCCTCCTCCCTTCAGTGGGATTTCGAAGCATCCTGTGAGATGTAAAACATTTTTCTCAGCGTATGAAAACCAAAACAAGACCCCAAAAAAAGTCCTGGCAGCGTTTTAAAAGCATCCTGTCAAAATATAGTACTCTAAGTACATGTTAAAAGGCTCGGGGAAGTGATGTCACAGGATATGCATGTGCTGATGACTAACACATTGAGTCGATGTTAACAATAAGCAAATGCCAGAGTGACACCTGTGATCGTGCAGGCATGTGTCTGTGAACCAGAATAAATTAGAATGCATAATGAGGGAATGCTTGAAAGGATGAATTCCTGACTTGTTAAAATGTAATGGCTCATATAAATGTGTGACTCAGGAGGTAATGCAGCAGCAATCTGCCTGCCACGAAAAGGAAAAGAAAGTTTAGACACTCATGTAACTCTGAGAACTAGTTTTTTCACGAAGTGTTGTTTTTCTCAGAGTTGGGTAAATATCTCCTCTCATCACCACTCCAAGTGATTTTCTCGCAGCTAACCCAGCATGCTTGGGCCTTCACCGTCACACACCTCACTTACAGAGGAAGGTGACTCCCTATCTGAGATCTGCATGCAGGCCAGATTACAGAAATGATGTGGAAACTTCAATCGGCCGGCGTGTGTTTTTAACTGCACCTTTACTGAGGCCGGTCGTTGTGTCTTTACCTTTATTTCCTCGATTCTTATCAATGGACTATCAGCTACATCTAACCCTCTGTAAGAGGTCTTGAATAAACGCAAACGTGGCCACACAGTACTATGGTATGGTTAAAGACGGGATCAAAGCTTCTTGCCTGACAACTCACAAAATACAAACTCAAGGAAGCCAACTACAGTATGACTAATGATGGAAACCACTGGGTAAGGCAGAAGTTCTTTTTCTGTTTCTCAACCGGCTTTCAGCAGAGAGACACAGCTCTTTTTGCTTTGATATATTTTTCAAATAAAAGCCAGGGGTGGAATGTGTCCCAAATCATCGAGTGACACTGCCTCCACCACACACTGTCTTTACGCAGCTCTACGATCACAAAGAGGCAGAAATACTTCATAGAAATGTGATTTCAGTGTGATCTAGACTGTATAAATGAGACAGTCGAATGCATTTTGGCATTTAAGGAGAGGTTAAAGATGATTGATTTCATCGTTTATATTAATTTTTAATGGCAATTCCTTGTCAACTGAAGATCCACTATTTACCTAATGTTTTTCACCAAACCCAAACTTATAATACAAAATACAAATTACAGTATTAAAAAGGTTACAATAACAACTGAACTTCATCTTGACCTTGACAGGTTAATGCTTTGCCTGTTTGTTGGTATATGACAACATTATGTTGAACGTGTACTTTTAATTTTGGCTCATTAATTTCACTGTAAATACTTTAAAAATCAATTTAAAATTAAGATGTTCTTTAAGTTTTTTTTCCCATAAGGAGAAAACCTGTGTGCTCCCTCCCACTATGTAAAAAGAAAAAAAAAAAAAAAAAAAAAAAAAAAAAAAACACAGAAAATCTCAAACTATTTCTGTGTACTTTTGATATGAGACAGTGACAGCCATGGCCCAAGGTATTATGACAGTAGTGAGGTCATGATCGTGTCAGTTCATCAGGAGCTGAGGCTGAGCAGAAAGATTTTTCGGTTTCCCAGGGAATCTGCATTCCTGCGTGAGCCGCTGACATAGATCTCTCCTCAGGAACATCTGGGAGCCTCCCTTCCACTGAGGAAACAACAGTCAACATCAGGTCTTAGACTGAGCTGCGGGAAAAATAATCCAGCCCAAAGCATGTCTGAGAACCAACAATGAACGCAAAATTAATAGTCACCTGTTGACGACCACAGCCAATGGAATATTTGACTTTATTTGGTCCATATAAAGGTGTGATAAGTGGAGAGCCATTGTGGCAGACTGCTATCAGCTTTGAGTGTTTTCAGGGAACATTTTAGAGCACTCTGTTTAAAAGCATTCCCTTCCCTATTTAGTGTTTGGTCATTAACCCTTCCCCAGGTTACTAATTTATAGTGTTTCTTTTATTTGCCTTCACTTGACCCTCCCCGTCCCATTCCATAAAAACTGAGAGGGTGCCCTGTTGCTTTACAACCAGTTAAATTACACTTTGATGTTTTCTCTCTGTTTTCAGCAGTGATTAAATTGCTGACCCTAGTAAACATCTGACCCCAGCTAACTGAAGAGGTCTGCAGCTTGTCACAGAGTAATCTGGCAAATTGCCGGATCAGCCGGCGATATTTGAAGCGATCACATATACGTCGATGCATAGTGAAAACGAGACCAACAGTCAAAAACACATTCCTCTGAATGCCAAAAAAAACTGGAGCCAATGCAGTGGAATCTTGGCTCCCAAAAGAGAGCAGTGTGTGATGGCAGTGTTCTCCAGAACAGCGTGCAGAAGAGACAGCTCAGCATGCGGGAATACTGGAAGATGTTAGTGGCAAAGGATTCAGTGTGGTTAGTGTGACAGAGAAAAGAGACATGAGTTTGGAGTAGTAGACAGAGAAAAGATGTCGATGAAGGTAGAATTGTTCTAATTAGTGAAGATTCCAGTGTAAATAGTCTAAACTGTTTCCAGTCTTTGTGCTAAGATAAGCTAACTGGCTGCTAGCGGTAGCTTCACATTTACTGTAGTACAGACATTAAAGCTGCATCGACTCTCTCATCTAACTCTTGGTAAGAAAGCAAATAAGTGTATTTCCCCAAAATCTCAAACTGTTCCTTTAAGGTAGAACAGTTAGTACAGATGCCAAAGAAAATGTTGGCAATATAGTTCTGTATAAAGCTGAAAGTCTCAAACAATTCCACCCACCATCCCACCATTTTCCCATCCCCTCATCTGTGCGCCCAGCTGGACCCTTTGCCTAACAGGATATATGCCTTGCTCAGGGGCATAATTGCATTTTCTCTTACAGATGCAAATGCCAAACAGGAACCCGGAGTTGACCTATCTTACTTCTTAACATTGCATCCACGCTCCTGCCCAGGGGTAGAACGAAAATATTGCACAGTACAGCTTGAGCGTAAGAGGCCAGTGCAAGGGGTTGGTGATGTCAGAACATCTGCCTGCGTGGAGACTGTAAGAGGGTCTGACAGGTGGGCCACAGCAATATGAGGTCATGAACTCCAGCTGGGCGAGCTGTGTTGTTCCATTAGCGTCTCAGTCGGGGCAGGTCTGAGCCAGAGAGCTGGGGAGGGCTGCTGCAGTTTTGAGGGGATGACTATTGACATCTCATTGTGACACTCTAGCCAAAGGCGTACTAATCCATGAAAACAAACATGCATGCTGCAGACAGCCGCCGCCTAGCTTCATCACTCCGAAACTATTCAGTCATCGAACTAACCACTAAAGCACTTGGCCCAGAGAGTCACCAGTGCCACAAGGTGTCAACTCTCTTCCACCCAATGCAAAGGGTTTCAGAGAATGACAGGAGGCCACTACTGACATCACTCATAAGAAAAATGCAAAGTGACAGTAAAATGCCTTCACATTAGAGCATAAATATTAAGGTAATCATCCTCAACTTGATCTACCTCAGAGACAAATGTTGTTGGACTAAAGTAATGCTGGTGTCGCACAAATCTGTTTATGTGGAGGAGACCATTATGTGCTGGTTTCGGACCAATACAGTTGGGACAGGGCGCTCCCCGTGCCCAGTCGCAGGAAAGGCAAACACAGAGCCTGACAGAGCGCACTGTTCTCACTGGCCCGCAACCAGAGCCCTTCAGCTTATTTATTCACACGGCTGTTTGTTTATTGAAGGAGAAGGGACAGCTTTCTTCATCTCCTAAAAGGAAACAAAAAAGCTGGCATGCGCCGACAGGAACAGAGCGAGGTCTGTCACAAAATGGACGCTCTCGAAATTGAAAGTGACAAACACAATGTTGTTTACATCTGAGGGGCAAGGCTGTGGCGTAAGCGCGGTCGCCCCCGTACACAAGGCCCACCATACAAGGCGGCGAGACGGAGCGGGGTTTTTTTTTTGCGTGGCTCGGATTTCAAGTGGCGTGATTGAGAGATGTGAGGGAGAGGGGCCGCGATGATTGTGTCAGAGGTCACGCCAATGTGAAGTGACATGCCTTTCAAACAGAAAAAAACACGTTTCTTCTGCAACTTTTAGACGGGCCGCGTGCAAACGAGGCCTTTGAACCTTAAAGTAAAACATTACAGAGGTGATGTAAGCTTTAAGTAAATGTCATTTCGTTGGGTTGTTGTGACGTGATGATGAGCAGACGCGCTCACCGTCTTGAACGTGAGGCGCCGTGGTTTCATTCAGCCACTTTTTAAAGAAAGTTTTGCTCTGGTGAATATTCCAATTACAGATCAGTAACTACACTTATAGGGCTATTATTGACAACATGTGGCCGTCTTTGTTCAGCTCAAAAATGGTCAGACAGTCGGTTAGAATAGCTTGTTTGAAAATAATATTATTACAGCAGGAATATGCTTTTTATTATACGCAAAGCCAAAATTGCGAAGGATTGTTTGATTTTTTTAATGCTTCATATGAAAATTTTATGAATGGTGCACTTCGGCCGAGACCAAAAATGTAGTTTTAATAAACTTTAAAATCCCAAATATGTTTTATGACGGTTTTGAGCAGTTAATGTTTTATTTCTGAAAGGGGGGACGAGGGCTAGCTAGAGTCAAGCTACAAAACACCTGGATCCTACAGTTCCCATAACACAACTGGACAGCAGCTTTCATTAGACCCACCCACACCTTCAGTTTGTAATGCAGCCTTCACAGTATGTTAAATTATAAGCATTTTTTTTCAAACTTTAGTCCCTCCAGAGCCACGGAAAACGTCAGAAAACTGTTTTGATAGACAGAGTACATTAGGCCTCCTGATGAGTAAACTGAGCCTCATGTGTAAACTTGGTCGACTTCTCCTCTAAAAGAACAAAATACAATTAATCGTAATCCTCCATGCTTCTCTCTCTCTCTCTCCTTCTTAATTTCATACATACAGGAAAAGACAACAGCGGCCTGACAGAGTCTGAGTTGCCCTCGAGCGTTGACCCTCCCGGGATGGAAGGCAGCTACCTGAACCTAAAGGAGCCCGGCGTGAAGGGACCAAGCGAGCGGCCGGGCTCTGACCTTTCCAGCCCTCTGGACAAAAGCGAGGCCGAGAGCAACAAAGGCAAGAAGAGACGCAATCGCACCACATTCACCAGCTACCAGCTAGAGGAGCTGGAGAAGGTTTTCCAGAAGACACACTACCCAGATGTTTATGCCCGTGAGCAGCTGGCACTGAGGACAGACTTGACGGAGGCTCGTGTACAGGTGAGGACGGGGGAATAACAACAGGTTACACGCAAAAAAAAAAAAACTCTTTCTGCACTGATATGACCCAACAAGTCCTCCAAATTAAATGACAAAATACATTGTTTGTCTGTGCCCTCTAGAACTAGAGCATGGCTTGGGTTGAAATAGGCAGGTTAGTTAAAAGGTACAGAAAAAATTTGTTGGGGAGCTCGTCATGCTTACAAGAATAAAAACATTGATTGTAAGTTTTAAACAAACAAACAGCAATTTCCCCGTGTTAAAGTCTGATGTGTTTTCGACACATCCATCCACCCCGACCTCCTCGCTACACTGACTGAAACCTTCTGTTTCTCCCGTCAAAATGTCTCCAGCCACTAGAGGGCTTTGTCACTTGAACGTAAACTTTGTGTCGTTTCGAGGCACTTGCTGAAATGAACGATGCCGTCATTCCTTCTTGGGAAGACAGCCTCTATGAGCTGCGAGCTGTGTTGTATGACTGCAGTCGTCCATGTTTGCATGCTAATAATCACTCGGGGAACTGAGAGAGAGGGCTGGGAGAGCTAAGACTGGCATGTTGACAAAGATTGTTCGGAACAGCACACAGCAAGGCCTATTGTTCTCCATCTCTCTTTCTGCCTGCCAGTTTTAGATCAGAGTGGGATGGGTGGGACTAAGGGAATACTCTGCACTTAGCTCTTACATGCTGCAGGCTCTGCAAAAGGGTCAGAGGCCAAGGGTTTCTCCCCAGCACGACCATGTTCAAACTACTTCAACGCACAACTCTGGAGGCAGGGAGGGAAAACACATGGAAAAAAAAAAGGAAAAGTCATCAAAGCTATTTGGCAAGGATATAAAAAACACTTTGAGATGCCAGTTTCAATTTCCACGCGTTGTCCAAGACATAGTCAGGGACAGAGAACCTGGCCTGGTCCTTGTGGTGGTACAGTAAAATAAGTACATTCATGTTGTGTTCACACAGACCCATCTATTCCCCAGATGAATATAATTAACTCATCTGACAGGCACACAGCAGACTCTGTTGAGTCACTGTGAGGTTTGACCCATACCTCTAAAATCAGACCCTAAAAATGCAGGCAATCAAGACTAAACCCCACAATTTCAACTGAAGGTCCATCAAGACAAAGTCCAGGGATATCCAATTGTTGAATACCAAGGGGCACAAAACTTGGCAAGCGACTGGAGAATCCTTTTCATCTCCAAAAGAACAGCTACTAAAATCCAGAGTACAGATGTTTTCTGCCAAAATGCCAATGTCAAGGTCCTACGGTTTCATCCTCAGTTTGATGATGAATGTCTTCATAAACTCTGCTGCAGTGTTCCATAATCACATCTGTGACTTCTGCTGCCACTATTTTATTTAGTACAATTAGCTCTCAGCCTCAGACTTGAACTTCACCGTGCTGCCTACTTTTTATGAAGAAGGAGGCTGTGAGTGAGTGACTGCTCAGGCAGTCTATCAATTGCCGTGGTCCTGGATGACAGAGATGAGGTGAGACGGCTGGACTTCAAAGCTGCTTTTGGAGTTGTGCACTCTGCCCTCCCTCTCTCCCTCTTCCTCTCTCTCTGCCTGCTGGCTCTGGAGCATAAATAAAGCTCTTTAATGGCTCTGTAAGCTGCCTTTTGCTGTCAACGTCTTTAGCAATTACTGTATCACCGCCAAGCACTTTGAGCTCCAAGAGCACTGAGCCACCTTCCTTGCAGATGTCTGCTAGATAAAATAAACAAGACTAGTAAGTGTTTGCAGTTGGTAAATATCATAGTTTTGGGCGTCACGATCAGTATATAAAATGGGTCATTATTCATTTTCGGAAATAATAAAAAATGATTTGAGGTAATTATGATTCTGCTTGTACAAAGACACTGCTAGGCTTCCTGTTTAACAAACGTAGAAGTTTATAAGTTGGGGAATAGGAGACACGGAGCAGCAAAGGACACATCTGACTTCATAATGTTCCCTGAATGATCTCTCTGCCAAACTATTTGGCTTGGGTCTCATTCCTACTGCCGTTCAAAGGCAGAGCTACATAGAGCAACCCGTCTGTGAAACATGACACACTCAGTACCCAGAAACCATGACAAGGGACATATATGTGTTCAGACATTGTTTGATTGTTTCTAAAAAAGTTTCCAGTAAGTGTGTGAGAGTCCACGTTAGAAGGCATTTGTTAGTGACTGACTTTTAATTTTGTATATAACATAGTATGTAAATGTGTGTTTTCTGTGTGTATCCTGTGTGTGTGTGTGTGTGTGTGTGTGTGTGTGTGTGTGTGTATGCCTGCTCTTGTCTGCACGCCTCTGAAAGGTCAGAGGGGTTAGCTGCGGAAAGCCAAGGGCTTAGGCGTCAGGAAATTAAACATGAAATGAAAACAAGCTCCAGTTTGAACATTCTCCCATCTCACTTTCCAATATCCCCACTTCCCCTCGCTGACTTAAAAGGAAGGAGGGAGGAGAGAGACATGGAGAGAGGGGTTGACGGTGGGGGCGGTGGAGTGGAAGAGAAGAGGCTGAGCTTCAACACAGGGGAGGGAGTGAGACAGAGAGATGAAGATGACTAGAGGAGGAAAGTAGAGTTATCTTGATCCATCACAATTAAGATGACGTCTCTGCAACTGATAAAACTTTATATTTTAAAAAGGATAGTAGAGCTTTGAAATACTTGTACAACAATAACCTTACAGACATTAACCGTAGCCACAGCTTGTGCCACTCATGTATTACCATAACAATCGAATATAGACCAAAAAAACCCATAATTACATTTTTAATTTGGTTCACGTTATACAAATTGAGGAACCATCTCTGTCTGGATTAGGAAAAAGAGGTTTAAGTTAGGAAACAGGTTAAAAATCCTTTTCAATGTGCAATGGACTGAAAATGTTTTCATCGAGATGGTTGGTAGTTTTTTGGAAAATCAGATGCTCTGTAACTTGAATGTATAAGGGTAATTCATGAGAGGCAAAAACCTGCAGCTCTATTAACCTCTATCTAACAGCGTCATAACTTCATAGAAACTAAAACTAAATCTGTGAGCATGTTTGACGCTTATCAGTCTCTCGTTTTGAGGATAGTATTTGGAAACCTGTGATGTTCTGAGCTCACGAAACTAAAGAACCACCAAAGCAAAGACATGACAACCCTTAAACAATAATAGACCCCAAATCCTCAGGGGAATATAACACAGACTCTACTCCCCCCTCCAAACATATGATATAATTCAAAGGGCAACAACCCTTCACCTTGACATTGGGGTTCAGCCACAGCCAAAGATATCACCTTACCACTTTGCAGGGGTGAGCTGTACTCTAATCTCGCCAGCTGACCTGAGGAATGTCAGAGTCAGACGACATGACTTTACGTCAGCTTCTCGCAAAAACACAGGCGACAGCTACATGTGCCACAGGGGGCCATACATGGTCTTCTCTTTGAAAATTAACCCGCTAGTAGTTTTTTGCCTTGCATGAAAAATGACAGGTTTGCGAGCACAGCAGGAGGCTTATAGCTGGTTTTACCTCACTTGATAAAAACACCTTCAGAAATAACAAAACAAGTATGGGGTTATAACACCATACACACAGTGACTAAGTGGCATTCACTTCTTTGTGTGACACGGCTAATGTTTGTCACTAAACTCTATTGTGTTTAAGTTGACAGAGAGAAATGGTCGGGGAGAGACAGATGTGAGGGGGGATTTGAAGAGGTTGACTGAGGGGAAATTGCATGTCAGGGACTGTGAAAACCACAAGCTGATTGGGCTGGGAATCAACCCACAATCCAAGTTCAAACCCCTGTGTCGAAGCGGGATCGCTCTCTCTTTTCTCTTTGAAGACGTTTCCCCCTTCCCTCTTGGGAGGATAAGATTCAGACAACCAACAAATAGATACAGATAAACATGTGGAGACTCCCAGTATCCCCCTCTGCTCGTCTATTCTCTTGCATGGAGATGTGAGAAAATTCTCTTTAAAATAACAGAACAGCTTAAATTACAACTGATTGTGCTAAGGAACACACAGATCCAGGGTTAGGGAAGGAGAGAAGAAATAAATTAGGTGGCTACACTGGCGTGCAGAAAAACTAAAAAAAACGACTAAAAGTGTAATCAGTAATATCATTGATTAACCAGTCTTAATTTGAGTCAACCAGGTATATTAAATGATATTGGTATCAGATGTTGCTTCAAGTCTGACATTACCTCTAAATTGATTTTGGCTAGGGGTGTAAATAACAATTATTTTATTCCATTATCAATGAATCTGACAATTACTTTCCAGATAATCTATGTGATCTATAAACTGTCAGAGGAGAGTCATAGTGAGAAATATCCATCACAACGTCAGTTGACAAGCTCAAATGTCTCTTTCTGTCTAAGCAACAGTCCAAACACCAAAAGGATTTAAATTACTTTCATAAAAGACTAAGCAAATCAGAAAATATTTACATCTGGGACCAGAGGGAGCCTGTAACCACTCAATTTTGGCATTTTTCCTTGAAAAATGAGTTTAACAATTTCAATAAATTTTCTGCTGATTGACAAGTTGTTTCAGCTCTAACCAATATAAAACAGGAGTGTGCAGACATGTATGTGCTTTTTCAAAGCTTTGAGGCCAGGCAGGTGTTGAAATAGTTCAGATTTGACCAACAATTATGAAAAGATGCAAAAGTTAAAGTAGAATGACCATCTCGTGATGGGATCACATCAGCCGCAACACCCGCCAACATGTTGAATACTCAGTAGTTATTATCACTACATTATTACATGAGTACTCCGTTCTTATAGGTCGGACCACTCTTTGAACTCAGCCTTCATTTTCATATCAGCTACACACTACATACACAACTAGTGTATTGCTATACGCTATCGTGGTGACAAAATTTGTCCACAGACACACAGGCACATAGACACATAGACACATAACCACCTGCCGAAGTCTTCAAAACCTCATCTGTGGTATTTCCCACTACAGTAGGTGTCTCCTGGACACACACACACTCACAAGATAAAAACTATACCAGCCCTGCGGTCACAAAAGAAACGGCTCCAAAAGATGAACATGCTCTCGGCGGGTAGAGTCACTAATCCGGTAGCTGTTATATTAACGCACGCAGTGTTATTGTTGCTGATTTTTATCTGCATTCATCAAATCTAGTCAATTAAAGATTTACAATCTGTGCAGCACACAACATCTGTCCTTAGACCCTTGATTCAGATAAGTGGAAAACCACTTAATGTGGAAAAAAGGTTAGAAACTTCAGCAAGAGTCTCACTTGCAGGACGGACAGACATGCAGTTCACACTTGTGTGTACAGAGTAGATAGAAATAACAGTAGTATGTAGAGTATACTGGATTACTGCAGGACAACGCAGTGACAGTTAATATTCCTGTGCATTCCCATCAGGCTATAAAACAAAGCTTTTTTTTTTTTTTCTCAAAACGCTCTCTTTCATAACCCTCTTTCACTCGTCAGTCCTGCTTTCCTCCAGTGCCTTCCACAGTTAGGGAGAAGTGGTCTAAGTAGCCTGCACTTGGTCTGTCAGCAGGTACCGAAAACACACCCTTTCTGCAAAGTAGCATGTCTCTCAATCTCAAGAGGACAAATTACCCAGAAAATCCTACTTCATATGCTACATACAATACTTAATAAGTCCACAGGCCGAGCCAAAAAAGCATATTCTTGGTCAAAAGTTGAACTTTTGTTTCATGGATTATACAGAGGGATTCCCCACTGTAACCCACTGCGCTGACATGTGGGGGAGAGCACACCTTTCTCAGAGTGATTTATGAATGGCTACAGGCCCAGATGTGGATCTGTCGACGCTGGCAGCCTGAAGGGAGGCAGACGCCTGTGTATCAAAGGGAGGAGCTGAAACGTGCAGCACCAGGGGAGACTCACCATTTTTACATCAATAGCTCTGCGTGGACAGCACTTTAAAGACACGTCAAGTCTTAAAATCTGGGCCTGGACTTTCATGTGCTGCAGAATTTATTTGCTTCACTATCCTCATTTTATGTGGTTCAGTTTCTTACTCTGCCTTGCTGAACGGAGAGGATGGCCCCATTTTGTGAAAAAAAAAAAAAAAAAGTACTAGGGGCTCTACTGTGTGTGATTTGAAAGCTATGAGAGATATTTATTTACATTAAGATGACAGGAGAGTTTTGTTTGGTAGTGGCTGGTCTGCATTTTGAGGTATTTTCCTGATGGACTGTTTTCTCTGCAGGTGTGGTTTCAGAATCGCAGAGCCAAGTGGAGGAAGAGGGAACGTTTTGGCCAGATGCAACAGGTCCGGACGCACTTCTCCACCGCTTACGAGCTGCCTCTGCTGACTCGGCCTGAGAACTATGCACAGGTAAAAAACATTAAATAAAATTAGATCCAAATCTAAATCCATGCTGCATAGTAAGCGGGTTTTTAGTAGGTAGTGCTATGTAATGTGTTCACACTGGAAACGAGACAAAGCACTTGAAGCAGACAGACTGCAAACTAGATATGGTCAATATTTGAGGTTGTAGTCCATGGACACTATAATCCCACAATGCAGTGCACAAAGGAAATGGTGCAGCTGCTCACAGATGGAAAAAATTAAAATAAATTGTGGATGGTGGGGAGAATGCTCCAAAAAAATCCTGGAAAACAAACAAAAAAGTATTAACTCTTCGGAAAAACATTTTGATGTGATTTTGTGAAGTTTAATTGGCAGTAGCTTTCCAAAGTCACACTTTGATTCACATCCAATATCACACATACTGTATCCTGTTTGTATCCTGTTTCCTGTTGTAAAGTTGTAAAGTATGTTGATATTTTTCCCTGCTAACTGCTAGAACAGTACACCATCACAGTGAGAACCTATACAGTATATACTGTATAGAATGGAGTATGGATTTGGGACTCAGCTTGAATATTGCTATGCAGAGTTATTCCATGATACATGATCAGGTTCAAGTCTGTTATTGTCATATTGCCGCTTTTATCTTCCAGATCCAGAACCCTTCGTGGATCGGGAGCAGCAGCGGAGCGTCACCAGTGCCGGGCTGCGTCGTGCCTTGTGACTCTGTCCCCTCCTGCATGCCCCCTCACCCTCACGGTCCTGGAGGCGTCTCTGACTTCCTGGGTGTGCCCAGTCCAGGGAGCAGCCACATGGGACAGACACATATGGGCAGCCTGTTCGGGGGTCCCGGGATGGGCGGGGGAATCAATGGCTATGATCTCAATGTTGATCCAGACCGCAAGTCCTCCAGCATAGCTGCGCTGCGTATGAAGGCCAAGGAACACAGTGCGGCCATCTCTTGGGCTACATGATGTCCCAGCCCAGTTCCACCCCGCCCCCATAGGGCCCCCTTCTCCGGAGCAGCCATCAGCGAGCGCTGTGGGGGAGGAGGGACTTATCCTGAGAGCACTAATGATAACACAGGTCAAATGAACAGGGAGAGACTGTGGAGATAACAGAGGCCATTACAGCGGCCAAAGCAACCAAGATAACAACTGTGACTGTGACAATCAGCAGATGCTGAAAGCGAGAGAAATACAGAGGTGTGACTTAGAAGATGTTACTTAGATGTTGTGTTCATTCTTGATTCCTTGATCTCTCAGGTCTCATTCAAATATGGGGTTTGTTCACATTAGTGATAGACTTCAGTAAAATAAGCAATATAATAAACATGGTTTACAAAATACCTTCATAGAATGCAGGAATTCAGTGCCAAATCCAGCCATACAGTATTTTCATTTACAGAATTAAGCTTGATTCATACTATTTACTTCCTTTAGCTTATTGTTTTTATAATACCCATCCAGCCCCACTCACATCGTTTGTGCGACTGCCACTTAAAACCTGTCACTCATACTGTAGTTTGAAAACTCTTGTGAACGCTCAGTATTTGAATTTTAAAAGCCATTTAAAAAAACAAGGCTACTCAATGAGAGCAAGCTCAGATGCATACCAAGTGGTTAGAGTTTCTTTTCAGTCGCTTTGCAGTGCAGACCGTCCATTAAAGCATAAAGAATAATTAATTTTTGTCTTACCCTGCAGTGGGTACTTTAGGACAGAGGTTGAATGCAATAAGTGAACAGAGTCTAATTGAGCAAGAGCAGACATGGCCTGTGCCAGGTTAGTCTGGGAGGAGGGCAGGCACTCGATTGGCAGCAATTTCAAACCAACGTGTCATTTCCTCCCCCAGGGCTGCCTCCACAGGTTCCCCTGCTAGGCTCAGGCCTCAGGTTACAGGAAACAGTGCGTCCACTGGCAGACGAGGCGCAGCAACGCACAGCAGCAGCCATCAACACCAACTAACCATGCCAGCTTCAATCAGCGACCGACAGGAATAGACACACTGAATTAGCATCAAAGTGAGCCGTCCTGCCCTGCGAACACCACGGCACATCACAGCGTACATGGTGAGGACATACTGCACACAAGCTGTAATAATCAATTCGTCGTTTAGACATGGGCTCAGCAGAGATGACTCTCGGATTCGTAGCTTGCTCACAGAATCTGTCGCATGCCAGAGACTGCGGGCTGAATCAGTGGCCCTAATCACCCTGAGGAGCATTCTGTAATGTTTAGGTAATGTGATGACATTAGAGCTGGACTGCAGGAATGTGGTGAGTATGTCCAGTGATTGCAAGGGGTGTCTCTGTGTGTTACCCCGCTGGAATAAGCTTGTCACCAGAGCCGGGCTGCAGGCGGAGGCTAGAGACAGGCTTCATTAGTTTTTTGGCTGATCCCTCTATGACGCCCGCTGGGCTACATATCCGTTTTCTTTCTCCTGTGTGGATGATGGCAGTTAAGTCTGGTCCTGCTCCTCATAGCTGGTTGATCACTGTAACATATGAGTGCCCATTACAACCCTCTTAAATGAGAGTAGGACTGCTACTAACAAGTGTTTTCAGTATTGATTCATCTACAAATTATTTTCTTGATTAGATGATTAATTATTTGCCCTATAAAATGCCAGGAAGTATCTTTTTTAAAAATCACAATTTCTCACAATGACAGTGTCCTTAAACCCAATACGACTCCTTAAAAAGTTTTCCGTCTTTACATGTAGAGATAAAAACATTTAAAAATTCATGCTAGCATCCAAAATTCTTTGGGAAAATATATTGTTGCTCAAGTCCTCTCCTGATAACAGCAAGTAAGTCAAGTGACAACACGATGATGACTTTGAGAGAGTGTTCATGCTGATAATAAATTGTACACAGAGCATGTTTTGGCAGTAGTCAAACAAGTGGCATTGATCAACAAGACAAAGGCTTCTAAAATTGAGCCATGACTCTCTTCAGTTGAGAAGAAACAGTTTGAATTAATGTAGATTTTGGTGGAAGTGAGGGCTAAAAATCAAAAACATCATCAAGATTTCAAGAGAAAAACAGGACGCAGTCACAATAAATTTATGCACGACAACATGTGTGACTGAATTCTTACTTTGTTGAGTCGACTGTGCGTTTGCCTTCTCGCTGGTCCTCCCTCAGTGCTCCACTCCTCTGCAGCTCCGTCCATGTTGATACTACTGAAATAAAGCGATTGAAATCCATGGTTATAATGTCGTATTGTGTGAATGTGAACAATATAAATGATATTGTTCTTTTGCTTGTACATTTGTTTTTGCTTATTTGTCAAATAAAGATTCAGAGATAAACCAATGAAGTATTACAGTAATATTGCCAAGAAGTGTAAAATTATGTTCTGTGTGTTATTCTGAAGAGTTGCTCTGGACTTTTACTGAGGTTGAAATTGCTTTCTAATTTTCTTATGGTTTCAAGCAGCTTTTTCTATATTAATCAAGTATTTCTACTTCTGATTGTGACTTTATATAATGTGCCTTTGCAATAAGTTATTGCACTTACAGTGTTGGAGAAGTTTTTTGTTTGTTGTTTTTATTTTTGACTTCGAGTGGGACAGTAGTGTCGTTGCCAAAGCGAGATGCGTTTGGTTTGTGTCCCAACAGTCAAGAACTGTCTCTTATAAGTCCGTCCACATTAAGCACCATGAACAGCACCACTGAGACCTGTTTAAGGTGCTGGACATTTGTTTGTACAGAAGTATCTTGCTGTTTCTGTTGATGATGGTTTTGAAGTGATTTTGAAATAAATGAATCTCCAATGGTTAAATGAGCTCAGATAGATTCTTCTTTAAAAAGGCCCTCAACCAGTCTCTTACTCTAAGTGATGGAGTCCTACAGGAAGTAGGAACAGTTCAGGTATTTCTGATCAGAGGTTTCTGAATCTGTGTATTTGGGCTGAATTGGAAAAAGGTGATATCACATACGTAACGCATCAGGATTTAGCAATTTTTAAATCAATGACAGTTATTTAGTTATTTGCTTTCAATCACATGTAATTAAACAACACCCACACAGTCTTGTGAAGCATTATTATATTATACTCCCTATTATTATACTCCTTACATAATATACAATCAATAATTTGCCACACAATGTAATTTTCACAACTGTAAAAAGCATTGCATTTCATTCTGAGATTGTTGGCAGAAAACAGAGTACATGCCATGGACACAACTTTCTTTGTTCCATTATATAAATCATTTAAAAAGAAATTCACATTTTGACACTCAAATCAAACAGCAAGAGAGTAAATATGGTACGTTATATAGTAAAGTGCACAGGAAGAAACTGCTGCTCCTGTTCAAGAAGTAGTGTGACCCTAACCCTAACCCCTGTGAAACCAAAATGTGTCATTTTTACACTTCAGTTTTCGACCTGAATAAACAAACAAGATATAATGTGTTAAACAGTGAGCTTTAGAGGCGCTGGTAGGCAGATTTTATTATCTTTGGACAGAGCCAGATTAGCCGTTTCCCCTGTTTTCAGTCTTTGTGCTAAGCCAAGTTAAGTTAGCGGCTGCAGACTGTAGCTTTATATTTAACGCACAGATGTGAGAATGGTATCAATCTTCGAATAAGCATGTTCGATGAAAGTTTAACTATTCCTTGAATAAATAAGAATAAATGATGTTCTTTTTGAACTTTGCCTGTTGCTTAATCAGTCTTGAAGGCTTTTCCCTTAAAAGGTCCCATGGTTTATGTTTTTCTGGTGGTTTATTTGAAGTTTTGATATCCAAGAAGATATATTTGTGGTTTTAAGTACCAAAAACCATCTCAGCGTAGTTCTCCTCTCTTACACTTCTCTCTGGAGCTCTAGCAAGCAGAGCAGTGACACACGACCAGGCCAACCACAGGTAATGAATTGTAGCCTCCAACTGTAGTTTGTTAAAACTCACCAGTAAATGCAAATGTCAATGGTCAGTCAGCACTGAAATGAGCCGTACAGACTATTTCAGAGAAAATAAACATAGACGGCTGGTCTCTAATATTATTCTGCCTGGGAGGGCTGTGCAATGATATAATGACTTCCTGACATCCAAAGACTGTGCAGTGTTTCTCAACATTGTCCTTTCTCGTGGCATGCTAGCTCAGTGACAGAATGACCTATTGGTGTTGTGTTGTTAATAAAGTTGAGATAACAACAACAACAACAACAACAACAACAAAAAGGATGGACAGTGGGTCCAGGTAGGCAATGCTGGGGCATGGCTGAGGGTGGGAACTGTATAGTTGTGACATCACAAAATTCTGACGGCTCGTTTTAAGGCAGAGTTTCTGAATTTCTCTGTGGATTGATTATTTTTATACTTTCACAGTGTATATAGCACCAAGACCTGCTTTATAATAAAAAAAGATATGGAAGTGTCACTTTCTACAATATAGGACCTGTAAAAATGCTGACCTGTGTCTTGCATGGTCGTGGTGTGCAAATTTTACATACAGTCTAGGCCTATGAACTACTAACTACTAGAATAAGATCAGTGAATGTACACAGATAGCTACACACTGAGAGGAAATGATACAAAGAGCTTAATAAAAAAAAAAAATGCATTGGCAAATTACACAAATATTTCATGTATCACAGACTCAAGATGAATGTGTGGTTAAACGTGGATGATATGTGATCCCATTCTTTTTTTTCGCATCAGCAGCTTCCAGATGGGATGCTCTGCCCAAGCCATTAGGCCCAAAGTTAAGCCTAATAGTTTGAATGGGCCTTAAATACCTCCAGGTGGTCTTTGGCTAACGGTCTAGCTATGGCCGGGGTGAGAGAAAGCTGTCATGCAATACAGTATGCAACATCATTTTACACAGATGTTCTTTGTTTTTGCAATACGAGCTCAATCATGCAACAAAACAGTCTTCAGAAAAACATTTTCATAAGCGCATCAAAACCTCTTTCCTACACAACAAAAAGTGCCTGTAATCAATCCAGCCTTTATTTCAAACTTTGTGCTGAATATCATCCACAGAAGGCACAATCACTTAGGACAACTCTCTCACGTAAGACAAAGGGAAGGCATGGCCAGGAAAACAAAAAAAACAAAAAAAAGATAACATGTGCCAATTCACATCTTGCCATTGCTGTGGTCTTTGCCCTGCAAAGAATGTTGGAGCCCTCCCATCTCTGCTCGCTCCCAGCAACAATTGCCGTCTTTTCCACAGTTGTGCAAGAGTTTAACTGGACTGCTCTGATCGCATGAGAATGTGAAAACTCAGAAGAAGCCTGCTGTCACCCACTAAAGCTTCCAGCTAGAATCGAGGAACTGGAGATCATCAGTAAGACTGCAATGGAAGGGTAGAAGAAGTCCTGCTTCAGTACAAGCTTGTACATGTCAGATGAAATACTGCCACACAACAGCCATCTCCTCTTTTACAGTAGCCTATGTCCCTTCAATGGGAAATAATGGTAATAACAATAAACCTAACTTATATATAACTCTTCACAATAACAGTACAACGTTTTACAGTGCTCTTACAATGCACTGTTATAAAAATACTGGTGATATTCTTTTATTTTGTTTTCAAAAACTCTCATGAAAAAAAAAAAAACAACAAGATGTTTGTCCGTCTGTCAATGCTTTCCGACTTCCATGGCTTATCTGTGGTTTTCAACTGGTTCCTCTTGACATCTTTAAACAGTCATGAACATGTCCTTTTAATTTTTAAAAAGGCTAAATAATTTCCTAAAATAGCTTGGCACTGTAGTTTCTAGTAAATGTTGCTCTAACAGAAGTAAATAGTTCATTTGTTGCGGTCTATTTAAGCTTCAGATTTGACGCACTAGTGAGTATTTACAGCGGCAGGACAGTGATATGCGGGATTCAATCAAAATAAAGTACAGTGCCCATATAAATGAAGGCGCATGTCAGCTGGTGCATCAGTGCAGCTCGCTGATATGTTTTTAATAGATTTTGTAAAACAATGGATCTCTATGGGTCAGTGGAATAAGATATATCAGGCTTTTGCTACAGAGACCTATTCTTAGGACAAATTCAGTGTTGTTCATGGCATTTGTGGATAGTAAGAAAAATAAGTAATATCACCAGACAGACTTATTCTTTAATAACTGATGATAAATGATCTTGAACACACCAACTGTGACCCCTGTGAGACCATCTTACAAAAGCAGAAAAAGTTTTGTGGTCACAGGACCGATAAAAACCGATAAGAAACCTAAATGACAAATGGAGCAACTAGTTAAAGAGACAGAGTGCCTCTGCACTCTCCATCTGTCTCAAACCCGGGTAGATGAGATAAATAAACACTTTCAGGGAGGAAGAAGAGCAGCCCACTGTGCCCTGAACAGCACTCATTAAACCTAATGGGTCACGCTGCTCCAGCCAGGCTCCACTGACACCCTTAATAGAAGCCTGCATGGTTAAGGGACCATGAAGACCATTAGGGCACTTCAAAGTTCACCCCACTACATTAGGGCCCTGCTGATATGGCAAAGAGGGGACAGATCCAATTCCTCATTCACTACTTTATTTTTCCATCGGTTGGCCTGTCAATCAGCCCGCTCCATAAACAAGTGGATGCATGAGCTGCTCATTAAGGGCCATCATTAGCAAGGCCAAGGCTGTAAATCACCGCTTATATCAGCTTTCAGCAAAAAAAAAAAATCTTATAGGTTCTTATATTTTAGAGCTGACACTTTGGCTTACGCTGTTAAATGATCCCATTGGTTTGAAAATAAAATTGCTGCTTGCACTGTAAATCAAATCTCTCCACTCACTTCTGGACCAATGAAAGCAATCCAATGAACTGCAGAAGACTGGAGCCAAAGGTAAATGACAAGCACACTGACCAGTAAAAAAAAAAACAAAAAAAACCTCTCCTAACACACTCAGACATGTAAATTCACACAGGTCACGTTTGCTGCTATGAAACCAAAGTCTACCTCATTCATATAACTTCAAGTGACATCTTGCTGTAAATCAAAAGAGCCAGCAGAAGCTTGATATATTGATGCTGTCCTAAGGGGCATAAAAGGCAGAGCAGTCTCCTGCTGTGTGCTATAAGTCAGCACCGCAGTTCCTCAGCACGGCTTTGTGGAGAGGAGCAGGCGGCTGAAGAGGAAGGAACACAACATACATCACTTTATCCAGTAAAAGGTCCCTTATTACAAGCCTAGAATGCCAGTAAACAGTTCACATTTAGCAAAGCTTTTGACACACATAAGAAACCAATCCTAAACAGCATGAATATACCACTGATCTAAAAGTAGTGACATCTGTTTTTAGCAAGATTTGCCAACAAAGTGAAGACAGAAAACAGACAAACAACATGAACAAGAGACAAGATGGTGCTGTCTAGGATAAAAATGTTATTGAAGTAACACTTGCTGGGACATTGTATGCACATTTTCGGTCGTCTGTGCTTCACAGGATCTGACAGGTCACTGTGTCAGTAATAGAAAGTTAAGTGTAGAGGGAGGACTTGACATGGGGGTAAGTTCAGAGTGGAGGTTTACTAAGAGAGTAGCGTGGATACCTCACTTCCCTAAGTTCCTTCTAATGGGGTCTCTGGCTCTGTGACAGCCAAAACCAGTGTGTATGTATTCTTATTAGATGGCTTACTTGCAAGTAAGAATCAGTGCGGGACATTT